TATAATATTTTACAAATAAAAATTTATATTAAATACATATTTATTAGGTTCAAAATTTATATTGTAATCCTATTAGTCGTAGGATACGAGGCATAATAGGTCAGGTAATAGACTTGTAAATCTAGGATTAGTTGATGTGTGACAGCGGAAAATGCAAATTCGCTTTTCTACTACGTGCCTCGTCAATAAAGGACCGAATAAGTATTTGTTTTTACAATGATTTTTACAATGCAGAACACTTTATATAGTCTACAGTTTCTATTTGTAGCAAAAAACAAGGACAGTCGCATGCGCAGATAGAGAATTCATGTCACAATATAATTACAGATAAACTGTAATTAAATCGATGGATATTTCAAAAATATAAAAGCAGATTTACAAAAGAAATCTATTCTTTCCAGCTCTATACATTGGAGAGAAAAGCAAGAAAAGATGAATAATACAAGTTCAGTGATAAAAAGCAGATCTAAAATCTGAAGAATAAAAGACTCCAAAGACTCAGTGAAGAGATAAATAAATGGAAAAATATCAATAAACAAATGAAATATCAATGAGAGAAGAACAGCTGTTTATTACTTCTTCAAAGATTGAATTTTACGTTTTATTACTTCATTCAAAAGTAAAACTTTTTATGCAATTATCTTATGTTTTAACACGGAACGGATGGTTTTGCTGTCTAAAAACTTAAATACAGAAATAATTTTGTTGAACTAAGGAAATAATCACGTAAGACGTTCAACCTGAATAACGCTAGAATGTCAAAATCCTTTGCAGCATTGCTCATGCTATGCTTGAATATTTTCTACATAATAATTTTTATGATCCAACAAAATTGTATATTTAGATCTATATCTACTTAAATTTTTATAGCAAAATCATTCAACAAAATCGTTTTTCCCATGAAAGGAATAAAACATGAGGAAGTATAGGAAAAGATGACATTACAATACATATAAAAATAAATAGGAATAAATATTAAAGACTTTAATCTATCAGAAACCGTGTATTCTGACTGTAACCAGTTTCTGATAGGTGAAATGAATAAGTATTTATTCTTAATATGTCTTCTATTGTACAATATTATTAGCATTAGCTAACATATAACACGCACACGAGTATCCTCGCTTGATTACTCGCCATAAAAATAACACGGTCCACGTGCGTTTTCCTCTACGCACTTTGCACGCGTGCCACTGCGTATAACGCGCGCAGTTATCAATCGTGTTTATGGCGATCCAGTCTCCTGAGAGAAGGAGCCTCATCAGCGATGTGCCAGCGCGTGAATTCAGACGCACTCTCATACAAGCGGGCGTATGGCCTGCTAATTGCAGCCGGGGCTAATTGATTACGGGGCGGCCGTTTTACGATGTTTGGCGAACATGTCATCTCGCGAGCCGTCTGGCTTGCGCATGTACGACGGCGACGCTGCATGGGTGGAGCTCATGAACGGGCGTCGCGATGTCGACGTCCGGGGCTTCCACGAGTGTCTAAACCGGGGGATCGATCAGGGGAAAGAGTCTCTCTAGGAGGCGCGATGTTCTCGGAGGCCTCTCGTTC